GACCCAGAGGCAGTACCAGTTATAACCCTTCTGCACAGAAGTTTGTCACAATAAATCAAAAGCCTTAGAAATGTTTACAGGAGACCACCCCACCCCTAAGAAGTGTTGTGAAGCAGAGGAACAGACAAATGCACAGGACGATGGCTGCTGTCCCCTTATTCAACGCAGAGGAAAGCTGCCAGCAAGGCACATGGTCAAAAATGAACCTTCAGCTCCGCGGTGCTCGGCGGTGGTCCTCTTGGCATTCGGGAGGGGTGGCCTTTTCTTTGCCCGGAATCATCTGGTAATTTTCAGGATGTCAAGCGTCTCAACCCTCTACCCATTTTAGTGCCAGTGGAACTATTCTGACAATAACTACCCCTTCCAAACATGTATTTCCAAATGCTCCCTAGTGGCGGGTCGGACCACTCCAGGTAAGACACTAGCGAGGAGGACAGGCAACCATTCCAAAGGGTCGTCTGGATCTAAATACACGGATACCAAAAGCTGCTCACAATACACGAAGTGGAACAAAAGTCAGGGTAAGGGGCGCCTGGGTGGCTCAGTCATTAAGCCTCTGCCTTCGACTCAGGTCATGATCCCAGAGTACTGGGATAGAGCCCAGCATCCACTCCCTGCTCAGCAGGGAGTCTGCTTCTCCCTCTCCCACTCCCCCTGCTTGTGTTCCCCCTCTCTCTGTGTCTCTCCCTGTCAAATAAATAAATAAAATCTTAAAAAAAAAAAAAGTCGGGGTAAGTGAACAGCATCATCACGTTTTTGACCAAAACAAAATGGAAAGTTCTCCTATTACAAAGCTACTTGCTACATGCATACAGTAAAGGTTGTCGGATAATAGTTCTTGACTGGTGGAATTATGGGTGATTTTGAGCCACACTTTCTTAGGTGTGATTTCTTTCCTTTCTACGTATTTTCAATGAGCCAGTTTTCTCTACACTAAAGGAGAAAGCGATTTGTGTTTTGGAGAACAAAGGGGACATCCCCACCACTGCCAGCTCCTCACACCGGTCCCATCCTTCTTTTGACTTAACTGAGCACAGCGGGGTCTGTTTGCAGAGCACCAGACTCTGCTCAAGCAGAGGGACCACCATGCTTTCACGCCACCAGATACCTGACCCTGCTACAAGGGAGCAGCTATGAAACCGGACCCAGAACATGGAAGGTTCTCGAACAAATGTCTGCTGATGTGAGTCAGCCTTTTATGTCTTGACTGGGCCAGAATTTTGCTGACAGATCCTTTGGGTTTCAACATCACTTTGATTCAGTGGTTCTCAACTAGGGTGCCCAACCCACCCCCCCTGCCAGAGTCACAGGGCGCTGCCTGGAGATATTTGGTCACCCCAATGTCCGAGGGAACGGGTGGTATATGCTACTGGGATCTGGTGGGTAGAAGCCAAGGAAGCTGCTAATCATCCTACACAGCTTAGGACAGCCCCAACAGCAAAGAATTATCCAGCCCAGAATTCCAACAGTACTCAGGTATGGAAACCCTGCTCACCATTTGCTTTTCTTCCAGCTTGTCAAATACCCTCCAAATTTTCTTGAAGTACCACCTACTACTGTAAACTGATCACGAGAACATCTCTAGAAGACAGGGCATTTATTATTAACTGATTTGAAGTCAAACTAGAGCTCGAAAGAAGACAACAGACGGCCAGTCAGGGCAACTGAAGTACTGGAGGGCTCTCCAGATGACGGGACACACCTTGCCTGAGGTGAGCAGAGGGGAAGGATCCAGGCAACCTCACTGATGACTTTTCAGTCCAGTCATTAAAAAAATCATGACATAAATGTTACTCCTTTCCAGCATAATCTATTACATTTATCACTTTTTGCTCTATTTTAAGAAGGTCAGGTTTTGCAGCTAGTAGGGTTTTATGAAATTAAATGCCCTTATTCAAAAACACCTCCCATTTAGGGTACTTCTGTGTGCATTATACTTAATTGAAGGCATTTCTCAGAAGAAACAGGATAATAAAGAGTATCACCTGAAGGTATATTACCAACCCCATGCTCAGGGAGTCAAATGAAAGGTTTCTAGCAGAAACAAAGGCACATGACTCTCAACCCTAACTGGTCTTTGGTATTTCCCCTGGAGCACAAAGCATTTAACTTTCCCTGTAATTTCTTTTGATAGAAAAATGAATTTTCTTAAACCAGAGACAACTAGACATGCTATTAAACTTCAGCATTTTTAGTGAAAAGCATACAGGGTCTCAAATTTGCCTAATCTTAGGACATCCTACACAGCTTTTAAAAAATCCTTAAACATATAAACAGCTCCATAAATAATAGATTTTAAAAGAGCTCATCATTTTAAAATTTGAATTCCATTTCTTTCAGGCAACATGATCCCTTCAAACACCTTTAAATACAGACTCCCATTTTATTAGGCAAATATACAGCCCTTCAAACAGCTTGAAGAGAGAGTCTCTCTGGAGAACAACTGCCCTTCCAAACCATCTGTGTCACATAGGTTTGAAGAAATTCAGGGAATAAAGAAAACCATCCAAGGAATAGCAGAATTATAAGAGATGGGACTATCCATTCATTGGACATAATTCAAACCACTTATTTAATAACATTAATTGCTTTCTGTCAAAACAAATCAAAGAAAGTTGTTTCATGTTTCCCCAAAACATGCATTTTGGTTAAGTGAAGCACCCTCCAAAATGACTATCAGCACTCACTTTCGGAACTGGTGAACCGAACCAAGACCCCAGCTTCTGCAACTGTCTATACTCTTGGGCCAACTGAAAATTTTCTCTGGGCCTGAAAATCATAGGGTGATGTTACATGGTCTTAGGGAAGAGTCTACCTAAGCAGGGAACCCCAAATAGCATAACTTCACAATTCCAGGGCCCAATTTGGCAGAAAGCAAGGTGAACAAAAGAAAGATGGGTCTCTTAGAAGCTGCTGGAAATGAGGTTAGCAAGAAAATGAAATAAGCTCACAGATGTATCTAGGTGTGAAAACTCCCTGCTCAAATACTGGTGGCAGAATGGTGATGCCAGAGATCTTCAGTCTCCCACCACCTTGTTAGTGTTCAGACAAACTCAATCAAATACTCTCATTCTTCGGAAGCTTACTCCTTAATAATACAATCTTCACTGAAACAGAAGGAAATAACGATATACCCTTAACCTGCAAACCAAGAGAAAATGTTCTTACTTCTTCTTCCTGATACCTTGAATCCTCATGGAGATTATTTTCTGTGAATGTTTCTGTTCTAAAACATTTTCTTCCTTATAAGAAATCACAAAAATGGAGTGCCTACAGGGCTTATGAAGGGCTTCCTCAAGAGATAAATATGAACTTTCACATAAAAACAAATTTTTAAGGATTAGCAAGTAATTCAAAATTTAAAATAATATTTTGCTAAACAAATCCTACCTGGGTGCCTGATTCCAGGTGCCAATTTACGACCTCAAATATTGGAAGAAGAAAATGAGAAACGGCTAATCAAAGAGAAATTACTAGGGGTCTACTCTTGAGTTGTTGGCAAATTCTCGGGTCTTCCCTCGTCAAAAAGAACTTTTTCTAGAAGCATTATTGCACCCAAAGTCCCTGGCTTTAAAATTTCAGGACATTTTAAGCTTCCAAACATTCTGTCAGACATGAAGATCACTAGAGACAGCCATTTTCTGTGTCAGAGGGCAAAACTGGGGTCTCTCACAGATGGTAAGTGTCCAGATTTAAAAAAGGGGGATTCTAAACCAACACGAGGCTGGTGGAGAAGAAAACTCCAAGGACAGAAATGCAGTGAAACAGAAAGAAACCGAGATCATCTGATCGAGCCAATATTTGCAGCCTGTAGGTAGTGCCAAATATTTCAGGAAATGCCAATGTCTTTCTTTGTAAAGCAAGGCCAAATTTAGTATTTAAACACAGCATATATCACTGGGAAGAATAAGGCAAATCCTTACATCCTCACTCTCTTTTAACAGAGAATCTTAAAGATTCATGGCCAGTGTTGAACTACCTTTCCCCCATTCAAAAATCAAGTTTCCCTAATGTTTCAAAGCCAGCGTTTCTGAGAAGTTTCTGGCCAATCTTCTGTTGACAGCTAATAATGGCAATCCAGAGTGAATTAGCAGTGGCCCCCATAGGACTAATCTTTACTGCTTTTCCTCAGCACCCACTGGTACGCTAGATGTCAACCCATGGACCCCCAACCACTTCTCTGACTCAGCAAAGTGAACTCTTCCTTCTGAGCTGGAATGAGGAAGTATGGGCAGGACAGAGAGAAACAGCCCAAACCCCGCCCTCCTCATCAAGAATGGTACCTGTTTGCCTCTTACCCTGTTGGTGGAAATACAAACTGGTGCAGCCACTCTGGAGACCAGTATGGAGGTTCCTCAAAAAGTTAAAGATAGAACTACTCTACAATCCAGCAAGAGAACTACTAGGTATTTACCCAAAGGATACTAAAATACTGATTTTGAGGGACACGTGCACCCTGATGTTTTATAGCAATGTTATCAACAATTGCCAGTTTATGGAGCGAGCCCAAATGTCCATCGACAGGTGAATGGATAAAGAAGTGTTGGTATATGCATGCAATGGAATATTACTCAGCCATAAAAAAGAATGAAATCTTGTCCTTTGCATTGACCTGGATGGAGCTAGAGTATTATGCTAAGTGAAACAAGTCAGTTAGAGAAGGACAAATAGCATACGATTCCACTCATATGTGGAATTTAAGGAAGAAAACAGATGAACACAGAGGGGAAAACAAAGGAGTGGTAAACCAGAAAACAGACTCTCTAACTATAGAGAACAAACTGAGGGTTGCTGGAGGGGACGGGGGGAGGTGGGGGGGAATGGGTTAAATGGATGATGGGTATTAAGGAGGGTTCTTGTTTAGATGAGTAGTGGGTGCTGTAAATGAGGAATCACTAAATTCTACACCTGAAGCTAATGTTACACTTTATGTTAACTAACTGGAATTCAAATAAAAACTTGAAAGAAAGGTTAAAAAAAAAAAAAAAAAAGAATGGTACCTGTTCAGGCTTCAGTCCCGGTGGGATCCAGGCATACTCCTCCAAGGCGCAGCCCGAGTCGTCGTCTGACGTGGAGTTCCTCTGGAAGTCAAACATGAGTTTGCTGACAGTCTTCTCCATCTCTAGGGGCATCACTGTCACCATGTGCTCCTCCTGAGGGCACTTGCAGTGCAGGCAGATCTTCCTGCAAACAGCAAAGGCGGGAGGTGAGAAGGAAGGCAAAAGAAACTATTGTTCAACCAGCCTTCGGGTCCTAAACCATAAACACATTCTTGGGCAACTGCCTTTTGGCAGGATCGCCTAAAGCGGCACCCCACAGCCCGCCTGTCTTCTTGGAAGGTGTGGAGCTGCACGCGTGGAAACGTCATGGAAGGCCAGAGGCCACCAGGTAAGCCTCATGAGAATGTTCGAACGTGGACTCCAACCTGTTCTTCCAAATCAATATCCCAAGAGCAACGTCAAATATATTTAACCAGACAGAGCATGGGCTATGGACCATGACTGCAATTTTCTTGACCATAATAGTCATTAAACAGACATAATACATATGCTGACTAGAAACATTACCAGTGGACTTAACAAATACTGACAACATACCATTTTCATAAAAGCTTCCTAGCAGCTAAGGAAATGGAAGCGTTTTTAAAGAGACCCGCAGGTGAGGTTTTCTTTCAGAAAAAGAGCAAGAATATGTTTTCCCACCAAACAAATCTAGCCCCAAGATCTCATGGAAAGACATTTTCACCTCTACTAAATATCCCCATAGGTTTAAAATTCTAATCAAAAACCCAAATTTTTCCTACATTGATTGTTTTTTTTCTTTTTTAAATATACAGTAGGAGAGGATCATGCATGTGAATTATTTCAAAAGGTAGCAGCCAAAGATAAAATCTCTCCCCAAAGTTGAACATTTCTCTTTTAAGGTTACCATCTGTTCCCTTTTCCATGGCTACAAAAATGATGAAGCAGTAAAAAGGTTGATGTCAGCAGCACAAAAGCATTTCTAGCTTCTACCAGTAAAAAAGAGAAGAAAAAGAAATCAAGGAGGAAAATTTTTAGAAAACGAGCTGTTCTTTGTGGTACTCAGATCTTCATGATCAGTTTCAATAGCATCTTATCCAGGCAATGAGAGGGTCCAGAATCCTAATCCCCACATGTGCCTAATTTTTTTGACAACAGCTTTGTTAAGATAGAATTCCCATATCCGAAAGGTCACCATTTTAAAATGTACAAATCACTGGCTTTTAGTGCATTCACAGAGTTGTGAAACCATCACCACTACTTAATGCTAGAATGTTTTAATCACCCCAAAAGAAACACAGGGCACATTGGCAGTGACTTTCCATATTCCCCTTCCCCCCAGGCCCTGACAACCACTAATCTATTTTCTGTCTCTATGGCTTTGCCTGTTCTAAATTCCATATGTATGGCATCATGTAATACATAGTTTTTTGAAACTGGCTTTTTTTTTGCACTGTAGGATGTTTCCAAGATTAATCCATGTTGTAACATGTGACAATCCTTCCTTCCCTTTTACTGCATTGTAATATTCCAGAGTATGGTTAAGTTACATTTTGTCCATCCATTCTTGAGGTGAAATTTGGATTATTTCTATTATTTTTATTTTTGCGACTACTACTGCTGTAAATATTTATATACAAGTATTTTTGTGCGAACATAGGTTTTCAGTTCTCTTGGCTATACACCCAGGAGCAGAACTGCTAGGTCATATGGTAACTTTATGTTTCACATGTTGGGGAACTGTCAAACTCTTTTTCAGAAATAGATGCACTGTTTTACATTCCCACCATTAATATATGAGTGTTTTATTTTCTCTACATCATTCCCACACTTTTTAGTATCTTTCCACTGTTTCCAACCTAGTGGGAATGGAGTGGCATCTTTTTGTGGTTTTCTTACTTCCTTAATAGCTAATGACACTGAGCATTTTTCTAGGTGCTTATTATATATCCTCATTGGAGAAATGTCTGTTTGAACTCTTAGTCCATTATTAAAATTGTTACTTGTCTTTCTATTGTAGAATTATAAGCATTCTTTATATGTATTTCTGAATACAAGTCCTTTATCAGAAATAGAATTTGTAAAAATATTCTCCCATTCTCTGGGTGGTATTTTTTTTTTTAATTGGATAAACACTTCCAAATTTGTTCTTTTTTTCTTTTTTTAAACACAGGCCTTTGGGATTTTAATTAATTAATTAGTTACTTATTTTTATTGGAGGAGGGCAGAGAAAGAGAGGAAGAAAGAAAAACTTAAGGAGGCTCCATGCCAACATGAAGACTGATGTAGGAGGGCTTGATCTCAACAATCCTGGGATCGTGACCTGAGCCAAAATCAAGAGTCGGATTAATTGACTGAGCTACTCAGGCGTCCCCAGTTTTCACTTTCTTGATGATGACTATTAAAGCACAAAAGTTTCTTATTTTGATAAAGTCCCATTTTTCTTCCGTTATTGCTTGTTCTTTTGGTATCTTATCTAAGAAACCACTGTCTAACTTGAAGTCAAAAAATTTACTCCTATGTAATTATCTAAGATGTTTATGGCTTTAGCTCTTATATTTGGGTCTGTGTTCCATTTTGAGCTAGTTTTCATGCATGGTGTCAGGAAGGAGTCCAACTTCATACTCATGTAGTTATTCAACTGTCTTAGCATTATTTGTTAAAAAGTCTGTTCTTTCTCCATTGGGTTGTCTTAGCATCCATATCAAAAATCAGCTGATCATAAATGTAATGGTTTATTTCTGGATTCTCAGTTCTATTCCATTGAGTTATCTGTCTGCCTTACGCAATTATGACTCTGTCTTGATCACTGTAGTTTTGCAGCAGGTTTTGAAATTGTGAATGTTGAGTCCTCCAACTTTGTCCTCCTTTAAAAAAAAAAAATGTGCTAGCTTTCCCGGGTCCCTGGCATTTGCACCATGAAATACAAATTTTAGGACGAGCCTGCCATTTTCTGCAAAAGTCCTAGCTGGAATATCGACAGGAATTGCACTGAATCTAGAGATCAATTTGGAGAACATTGCTATCTTAATATGAGATCTTCCAATCCATGAACAAAGGATGTCTTCACATTTATTTCAGTCTATTTCAATTTCTTTCAATGCTCATTTGTGTTTCTCCGTCACAAGTCTCACATATTTTTTTAAATTTATTCCCAAGTATTTTATTCTTTTGGATGCTATTTAAATGGAATTGTTTTGCTTAATTTCATTTTCAGTACAGAAACACCAGTAATACAGGCACATTCATCTTGCACCATACAATCTTGTTGAACTTGTCTTTTCAGTTTTAAGAGCACGACGTGTGTGTGTGTGTGTGTGTGTGTGTGTATTCCTCAGCATTTCCTGTATACAAGATCCTGTCATCTGTAAACAGAGACAGTGTTATTCTTTCTTTTCCAGTTTGATACCTTTTATGTCTTTGTCTTGCCTTATTGCCCTGGCCGGAACCTCCAGCACCATGGTCAACAGAAGTGTCAGTGGCAGACATCTTGGTCTCGGTCTTGATCTTAAGGAAAAACATCCAATCTTCTACCATCAAGTATTATTTAGCTGTGGGCTTTTTACAGCTTTTACCAAGTTGAAGAAGATTCTTTCTACACTAGTTTGTTGAGTGTTGTTGTTGTTTTTATCACTAAAAGGTGTTGGGTTTTGTCAAATGCTTTTTTCCATCCATTAAGATGATCAGTTGGTTTCTGTCCTTACTCTATGAATGTCTTGTGCCTACATTTTGACACCAAAATGTACTCAAGAAACAAAAGTGGTTTAGTTCAGCCAACTTGGGTTTGATAGATTCTCCTACTTCCTGCTTTTCATCAGATTGAAAATATACACAGATAGAATGCACACTTGGATCTGGTTTGCATCTCCAAACTCAAAGAGGTTTCTTCCCAACCCAGGCTGCTGCTTTTAAAAAAAGAGCCCATTTTAACAGTAACTCTTTAACTAACCAGCTACTGTAAAGAAGTCAAGGGTGTTAGGAAGTGGCCGGGGATTTTTCCCTCCCGTTATTTTTACATCAGTTAATGACTTAAGGGGCAAAAAAACAAACCAAACCAAAACAAAACAAAAAAAACACACTTCAGTGTGTTTGAGTAAATTTAGGAAGCTCTTTGGTGATTCACGGATTATACTAGACAGCCATACTTTTCAAAACGAAAATGTAGAAGAATGTTTACCAAAGTCAGTCTCCAGAATATTCGTCTGTGCAACCCATGTATCCAGCAGTACAGGGAAACAGCATAATAATACAATAGTTAAGGTCTGACGGACATAATCTAATGAAGTGAAGATCGCCGGGAGAAGAAAAAAGACAAGAAGAAAACAAAATACAGAATTGCAGAACCAGAACCAGAATGAATCTCACTGAGTGGAAGAGAACAGAGAAGGGGAGAGGGCTAAGGGCCGATTTTGTCACCATCAGGCAGCTACCGTGGGCCAGGCACTGTTCTTGCATTCCGGAAATCTAACCAAAACAAGCAAGGATCTCTGCCTTCTTGGAACCTGAGCAATCCACATAGCAAATGATCTGATCAAACAGCACAGTAAAGATGCTGGGTGCTAGGGAATACAGGCAAGGTGAGGCAGGATGAGGGTGATTGGGGAGGGTGCATATAGGGGCAGAACACATAGCATTTGGCTTACACATGCCTTACAGGAGCCCAGATTGGTACACCAGCCCTCCAAGAAAGAAAACACCATCCCCACTTCCCGGAGCAGAAATGGAAGTCCCAGCGATATCAAGCAACATGTTCAAAGTAAACCCCTAGTGGTGAGCGGAACAGAGACTCAAAATAGGATTGACCTGATCACTGAGCCCCAACAATTAACGGCAGAAAGCATACCTGATCCCAACCACAGAATGCGCTTTTACCCTTGAACAACACACACATCCAGAAAAAATCAAAGAGAAAACAAAGAAAAAAAGAAAACAAAATGGTAAACAGAAAACCATGAGGACCTCCTGTGTTTTCCCTGCTAGCTGCCTGCCTTCTACTTCTCATTCATAATTAACAGGCACTCCTACGGCAAGGCATTTTTATTTGTAAAGAATTTTCAATCTTTGAGTGATTCCATGGCAGCCTTTGGAAAGACTAATTTAATTACCCCTGTTTACAAATGGGGAACCCAAGGCCCAGACACTCAGAAAAGAGCAGAGGGTCAG